TTTATGATTTTTTTAGTTATTCAAATATATATATATATATATATAACCTAAAAAAAATATTTTGTTTCATATCCTCCAAGTGCAAAATTTTTAAAGGCTTAGCAACATACGTCAAGCAGCAACCAAGTTCAAAGATTGTAACCAGAAGATATAATTGTTTGGTTTACTTCTTAACTTACTGTTCTATGTTTTAGGAAAAATATGTTTAAGAACTTATTTCAAAATAGCAATAATCTATCTACGTATATAATGTATAATAATGGAAATGTGACTGTATTTTACAAAATACTAGTCAACTAAAACACAGCCAAGACAAATTACTTTGCACAGAACCAGGGGCAATTTTATGTTATTTTATATGGTAATATGAGTGAACATGAACTGCATCATTATAACTTCTGTATTGTGAGCCAGGCGCAGCTGAAAGGTGAATATAATAAAAATAATAAATATATATGTAAATGTATATAATGTTATGAGATTTAAGCTATTTAGTCCAAACAGTCATGTTTTCGTGTTATAATTTGTGTTCATTCTAGAATGAAAGCGGCACAATTTATATTTATTTCCTAATTTTTTATGGTGGTTAAATCTACCGAACCCGTACAAAGATTAATTACTGAAAATAACAGATAAAATATAAAGTTTTTCTTTAAAAATGTTTGATAACTATCTCGACATTATAAAGATTTTATGCATTAGAAAATTTTGAAATTTCACATGCAAAGTATTTTTAATCTTAAAATGAATATTACTTTGCATGATAGATAGGCAACATGTGAAAAGAAAAAAATAGACATGAGAAAAACATTGTTTTATAAACCTTAAGACTTAAAAAAAATTAGATAATTAAATTACTGATAATTTGCCAAATTTCGTTAACTTTCGCTTACTAATTTAAAAGTTATAGTATCAAAACTATAACAAGCACAAAATGGTTACGAGGTTGATCCCATGGACCAAGCCCGTGCTGAAAGAGTTAACCAGAGAAGAAAGTGACTTGAAAATGTTGCAACTGAACAAGGTTGTCACAAATCATTTTTCAAATTAGTCTAGTTTCATTTATTTATTTTTTGGTGAGATCTCATCACTCTCTTAACAATGTGGTCTCTTTGGCTTTTTGAAGAAGAAAATGTCTAGTGACTTTTCAGCAGCAATTACCCTTATT